CTGCTATTTATTTATTGCTGTTACTTTTTAGCAATATTCCACATGTACAATAGTTTTTGGGGATAATCTTGCTTTAGGGTTATTGTGTCATAAATGTGGAATAAATTAGATTCAGTATTGTAGTTTATCATTTATATTTCCTTCAGAAACATATACTTCAAAATTTGTTATCAGGAAAGGTGGACTACCACATTATCTAATCTACGTGGGTACACTGTCTAGTTCTGTAGAACAGTTACATACATACATACATACTTACTTACTTACTTATATACATACATACTTACTTACATACTTACATACTTAGATACTTACATAGTTCTGTTTTGGTTCTGCAGACTGGAAGTGTGGCCAGACCAGACTGGACTTTTCTTCACTGTCTCCCGAGGAAACCTGAAGAGGTGGATGACCAGGTGTTCTATTCACCTCGCTCTCTGGTGTTTTCTGAAGCCGAGAACAGGAAGTGGACCATTATGGTGAGTCTTTTTTTTGTTTGTTTGTTTTTACTGTGATCAGAGAAATACAAGACCGATGTTTATAAACTTTTTTTGTGTGTGTTCTAGGGTCTGATGGTTTCACTTCTGACCGACTACTCCCCAAAAACGCCAATGATGAAATTTTAAGCTTGTGACTTCTTTATGCTATATTACATTTTCATAACAACGCTAAAGACGACTGCCATGCCCAGTTTTTATCAAATTAACTTGAAGAATTGTGATGTGAATTGAGTTTTAATCAAGACCGAGATTCAGTCATGTCCACTTGATAAATTGCTGTGACATCATGCTGGGGGTGTTCTACATCTATCTGTAGCTATATGTTCAGCAGTTACCATGGTGACACAAGGCACACATTAGCAAACACTGAGAGAAAAGGTTTTTAAAATAATCTGAAAAGTAAAGAAAAAACACTGAATACATTCAAATAGCACATTTTTAGGAGCCTGTGATCAGAACAAGTGTTTACGAGGTTTAGGGGTTTGGTGTTCAACAAAAAAGGTCAGAATAATGAACTGAAAAACTGTTGGCTAATGGCTAATAATAAACTCTAATGTTATTTGAGAGGAACTTATTTAACAGAATAAATCAGGTCGCCTGTTACAGTTTCAGTTAAATCAGTTCTTTATGGTAAGATTGTATTAAAATAAAGCTCAAATTAAACTTTAACAAGCCTCAGAGAGAGCAGTGCTTACAGTTACCGTCACAACCCCAATAAAAGTGAGTGAAAGCTTGTAACGTAGTTTGGAGCAGAGTTCAGACTTTGGAGGAAGAAATTAAACTATTTTTTTGTGTTAAAGACAATTAAGTAAAATCTTTATTGTTCATGTTCATGGAATTAATACTGAGAACCATTTTTATTTTGTTTTTTAAAAAGAAAATAAAAATAATTAGAAATCAAGGTCAATTGATATGAGGATTTTTATTATTTTGTACCATATCGCCAAGCCTGAGTTGAACTAAAGTCAGCTAGGGGTATCTGTCCTGTCACCTCACTTATTTTGATGTTGTAATGCCCAGCCCGTACCACAGCCACAGGTAATGAAGCTGGCTACTTGATCTCTTTAATGTTTTATGGACAAGTTGTTGGTTATAACAAGAGTTGAACACAAAAACTGGCTATTTCAGAGCTTAAGGCCCAATTATGCACATCATTTTTGTTTTTATATAATAGTTTTTAAGTACAGCTTATAAAAATCCTCTAAAACGTGACTATATAAATATATTTTAATTAACTACAGACATATAGCGCCCTCTCGTGGACCACGGTGCTTCCTGCTCTCTTCTGATTGGTCCATGTGTTGTGACGTGTGAGTGCGGGAAGCTTTGATCTTTGTGTGTGGCCTAAAAGCAGCTGACGAAATGATGCTGCGATTAATATCATTCATTATCACTTTACACATTTTAAGAATACTGTCCCAGTGTTCACAGGCATCCACGTATTTGCGTACTTACAATGAGAAATTATGAATAGTTTTAGCTCTTTAGTTTTAGCCTTTCTTTGTTTGAGACTGCATAATGTCATTCGCACAAATAACACATGTTTGAGGATGTTGAATCAGAGAGTCGCAAAAGCAAACTGGTTAAAAAGCTGTGAGTTTGGAGCAGAGACGACCACCCACTGAGGCGCAGAGCAGGGGCTGGGGACTGTGGGAGGAGGACGCCATTGCAGCCGCCGCAACTGGTCCGCTTGTGGATGAGGAGAGACAAACCAGCCTAAACTTTACTATGTCGAAGCTAATCGGGGTTTCTGCCCCGGTACCAAGGACCGGGTCGCACCGAGAGTAACGCACGGATGGCTTCTCTAGAGCGGAGAACGAGGAGCCCAAATCAGGTAAAATCTGCGCGTTTGTTTGGAGAAGTGAAAGTTTGAGCTTAGCTCGGCTAACGCGAGGGCTGCGCTCAGCTACACCGCTACTTTTCACACTTTGAAAGTTTACATTTGTCCAGCTTGCACCGAAAACAAGATGTCGCATGTTGCACCGAGTAAAGTCCAGAGAACATTTTATTTGTTCAACTAGGTACTTTCTAACGGGAAAACATTGTGCAAATGTGAAGAACACTAAATGCGGTCTGGTTTACAACTTGAATAAAATGCAACTTGCTCTTTTTACCTCTAACTGTGTGGAAAATCTTACAGAAGAGTTCGTGTTGTGTGAACAGTGTTTACGTTCTGTTTCTAAATACAGGGCCTAATGTTTTATGTTGAAACTGCTTCTTAAGAGTGTGCCATGCGAACCTAGTATAAACACTAACACTTATGGACAGAATTAGTATTTGGGAGTGCAAGTATAAACTGGGTTGTTGGCTGTATGAAATTGACTTACTATAGGCTTTTAGTTAATACATGTATTTCTAAATCTGTTGGCTAATTGACACCAGGCTGTTGTCTCTTTATGATCACAAATGTTAATCCTCACTGTATTTACATATAGTGAACAATGATTTTCTCTCTCCCACAGCCTCACCGTGTCACATAGGTCCCTGTCCGGACCCCCTCTGACCATGAACACCAGCAGGAACTGCAGCTCTGTGGCCCAGGCTGAGGGCCTGGCAGTGCTGGAGACCTTCTCCATTGTTGCCATCACTCTTCTGGCCTGCCTGGGGAACCTCCTGATTGTGGTGACTCTTTATCGGAGGCCTTATCTGCTCACACCCAGCAACAAGTTTGTGTTCAGCTTGACCCTGTCCAACCTGCTGCTGTCCACACTGGTGCTGCCCTTTGTGGCCGTCAGCTCGGCCAGAAGAGACTGGATGTTTGGAGTAGTTTGGTGCAACTTCACTGCTCTGCTCTACATGCTCATCAGCTCTGCCAGTGTCATGACACTTGGAGCTATTGCTATTGACAGGTAAGCAAAAAGCACCACAATATGAAGGTTGCAACAGCAAAACATAGGCTGTAGAACATAAGGCAAGGCAAGGCAAGGAAAGTTTATTTGTATAGCACAATTCGTACACAAAGTAATTCAAAGTGCTTTACAGAATAAGAAATACATTAAAATCATAATAAAAACAAATCAAAACATAAATAATCATGAAGATTAAAATTAAAAAAGAGAGACATAAATTGGAGAGAAGAGTGCGGAATGAAAACCCTGTTGTTGTTGGAGACTTGTGTGCTAATACAGTTAAATAATGGAAAATGTTAACCATATCTCTACACATATAAAAGTAAGATAAGTGAAGTGCTTAGTGACTGTTTGTGTACTTTCTCAAACAATATAAACAAAAACTGTTCCTGTGCTGGCCTACTTACTTTGTACAGGGATTTTTTTTCTTACAACACAACTAGCTAATACAAAGCCCCTCATTTTGACCTTGTTTGCAGAATTTGCTTCAGCAACAGAGGTTTAAAATATTTCTAGAAGTAACTTCTATGTAATAGACATACTTTTGTCTTTCCTTCTCAGGTACTATGCAGTGCTCTACCCCATGATCTATCCCATGAAGATCACAGGAAACCGGGCTGTGGTGGTCATCGCGTATGTCTGGCTGCATTCTCTGGCGGGCTGCCTGCCTCCTCTGTTCGGTTGGTCTTCTTTTGAATTTGACTGTTACAAATGGACGTGCGTTGCTTCGTGGCACAAAGACTTGAGCTACACTGCGTTCTGGGTTGCCTGGTGCATCCTCCCTCCCTTTGTTGTCATGCTGGCGTGTTACGGGGTAATTTTCCGCGTGGCTCGTATGAAAGCGAGAAAAGTGCATTGTGGAACAGTTATTGTGGCGCAGGATGACTCTGGTGGAGCTCAGAGGAACGGCCGCAAAAACTCCAGCACCTCCACCTCCTCCAACGGGAGCAGGCGCAGTCTTATCTACGCCGGCAGCCAGTGCAAGGCTTTTGTCACCATCTTAGTGGTGATAGGGACCTTCCTTGTGACCTGGGGCCCCTATGTGGTGGTGGTGTCCATGGAGGCGCTGTGTGGACAGGGCACCGCGTCCCAGGTGCTGGAGACACTGGTAGCGTGGTTGTCCTTCTGTAGTGCGGTGTGCCATCCGCTCATCTACGGCCTCTGGAATAAAACGGTCAGAAAAGAGCTGCTCGGAATGTGTTTCGGAGACCGATACTACAGAGAGTCCTTCGCCACAAGACAGAGGACCTCTCGTCTCTTTAGCATTTCCAACAGAATCACAGGTAATCCAAGCATCTTAAAGGTACACTGTGTAACTTTTCTGGTGGAGGGTCAGTCAAATGCTTTTCTCCATAGAGATGTCATTGCTTTGACTGGAATGTTTTACAGTATGGTATTTAACCTCTATCGTCATGGAGACTAAACCAGACCAAGTCACAGGTCAGATCTGTGAAGAGGCAGCCCTGATCATAGTTAAAATGTATGTGTTTCTAGGTCATTTTGTGCAATAAAACCACCTGTAAATGAATAAATGTAAAGTAGGGCTGTTTAATGCCATACAGAGCAATGACATATCCATAGAAACAAGCAGGTGACTGACCCCCAACCAAAAAGCTACATAGTGCAGCTTTAAACTATTACGGTATTATTAAACTATAATGGTTTCATGTGTTTTTTAGACCTGGGTATGTCCCCACACCTCACAGCCCTGTTGGCCGGGGGAGGGCATCTGTTGGCGCCTGGGAGCAGCACAGGAGACACTGGCTTCAGTTTTACTCAGGACTCATGTGAGTGTCTCAGAACATGACTGCAGAATTTGTGAAACGCCTCTAACTCAACGTATTTTATTATTATCACGAACAAGTAGGGGTGTAACGATATCCATGTCTCATCCATGCTACTTTTTCCTCTTAAAATGGCTTGACAAGGCTTAATCCAAAGAACTAAAAATACTTATAACTGTTATTTCTTCATGTAGTCTGCACTGAAATGTAGCAAAGGATCATGGTCTATGTAGTTCTTTGTCTTTTTTTAAGCTATTGCTGCACCATAACTCTTAATTTAAACAAAGAAACTTGTAATTCAATATATTGTGATGGTCCACGATATTATTGTGAGAACTTTGACGATACGATATCATGATATTTCGGTTATTGTTACATCCCTACAAACAAGTGTACAGATTATTTCAATGAAGCTGATGGTCGATATGATCTGCAGAATTTTTTGGGCCGACATGCATGGCAGATTTAGATAATTTTCCCCAAGTTATATAATTTAAATTTACTACAAACTCACCCACAGCCCTTTTTTATGATAAACCTTTAAGAGAAGAGAGTAGTTACATTTTCTGCAGCTATCTCTTTCTATCGACCAAAACAAAATATCGATGTATGCTGGATATTGAAGGCAATTAGCCGATACGCTAAAAAGTACAAATATCAGCCTGATAAATTGTCCAACTGATGCTGTATATCGGTTTATCTCTAGTACAGATAAACAACTTTAATTGTGTTGAAAATGGAATGCCTGATAATGCATACCGTTATGTTCAGTTGTGTATCATCTGTCATTAGTTACTACAGTCATTACATTCCTCTGTCACTGCTCATCTCTGAAACTTTGTAAATTGGACAAGTAGAGTCAGGCACTGTTTCGCTGTTTGTGTCATCGATTACAATACATTTCCTCTTCACGTTTAAACCACAACATGGCTCATCTCACTGGTGTCTGTCTGTGCAGGTACCGATGTGATGCTGCTCGATCACTTCTCCACGGATGACTCCTCCCACCTGCTGTCTCAGGGGAGCGTTCCAGGGAAGAGGCGGAGCTCCGTCACCTTTGAAGACCAGGTGGAGCATTCCAAAGGTATCAGTCATTACCGTGCACTAAAAACATCAGGGTCTGGGTACAACTATTCACACTGAGCTCTAGGAATGTGCAACAAACATGCTCCAACTTTATTAATATGATTAGATCTATATCTTAGGTAGGGAAGGACGATATATCAGTATAATTTAAGATGAATTTGTCTGCGTGAAATATCCGTATGGGCAAATATTGGTTATTGGCAACAGCAGTAGGCCAAATATCGGTTATCGGTACATAACAAATGATCGGTTATCATAACACTGTATTAGACCTAACTTCCTGCTATATTGTTACTGTTATCCTAAAACCTATTTTGTTTTGTCATTAACTGAAAATGCAAAATTTTAGATTTTACAATATTGGTATCAGTTTGGTCCACAGTACAATAATACCATGGGATAATAAGGGATACATGCATTTTCCTGCTATTTATATATATATATATATATATATACATATATACATATACAAATAAATAAATAATTGCCAAGGAGGTGCTATGTTTTGTTAGCCTGATTCATCAGTCAGTTTTACTTCGTGGAAACCGTCTGACTTTGCAGCATTAGGGTTTGTTCACTCGACGGTAGATGGGTCCTTTTTTTATTTAACCAATCGCTGCTATTTGATCATGGTATATAATGCACCGCTAATGGGGCTAACTGGTATATTAAGGTTTTCCCAAATCCTGTAGGAAGAAGGGTAATAACGTCTTTCCCTTTGATAAAATTCACCAAACATTCTCTTTGTTCCGGCATTAAATTCTCGATCTCGGGAATTGTTGCCAACACAGAATATATGTCTCTTCGCTGATTGGCTGGTGCCCGAACTCGCGCTTCTGGGGTTCTTGCAAACCGTCTAATGTATTCCGATTCCTGACCTAGTTGCTGGAGAGAAATGAAATTGAGCGGAGGCACTAGGTGGCGCCAGACTGGCTAATATTTTGTAGTAATTTACAGTCCTGAGATAGTGAGATTTATCATATTAAAGGTGCACTATGTAATTTTCTGGTTGTTTCTATGGCTATGTAACTGCTCTACTTGGAATGTTCCACAGTAAGGTCAAACAGCTCAACCTTACATGTACTCAAAAGGTAGTTTTATAGCTCAAAAATACCAAGAGAAACATGCATTCTCACTGTGAGCGGAGTTACCTCTCCACAGGTCTGACCTGTACCTTGGTTTGATTTGATCTCCATGAAGATAGAGAGGTTTAAAGCCGCACTGTGAAATTCCAGACAAAGCAATAACCTCTCCATGGAGAACACCGTTTGACGGACCCTCTACCAGAATAGTTACACAGTGAACCTTTAAGTAACATATGAGTGCTGTTTCCATTAGCCTAATTGCACCTTTAATTGCATCCATGTTATTACTGTTCTGTAAAGTGACCCATCATTTTCTGTGTAATCTGATTTGTTTCCTCAGCTGAAAACAACACATCTTCTGTCCAAGTTCATGCAGAGGTCCACAAGTCCCTGGACACGTTTGCCTCCAGTTTGGCGAAGGCAATCGAGAACGACGCTAAACTGACTCTGTTTGGAGAAGGGTTAGTTTTACCCACAGGACTGTTCACCACCAGGGCAGCGCCACGGCCAAGGTACCTGGACGGACAAAGGCTGAGGCTGGAGAGCATTGACGAAGGAATAGTTAAAGACGACAAGGATGAAGAAGGACCCGAAATGGAGGAAAAATTCTCCTGAAAAATTAGGAGGATTTGACTTTAACCTGCAAATAGGAAATTATCTATGTTCAGGGTCATTTTCCCACCAAATTTATATTATACTTGAAATTTTTATCTGTAGAGTATTTTCAGAAAATGTTTTTTTTTATATATAATGGTGGACCAAGTGTCAATCAAACATTACATTTTTTACATAGGAAACAGCAGCCCACACTACTGTATACTTGATTCATAACTTATATTATTATATAGTTCACCAACATTGTAACACTTTTTCAGAAACTAGGGATGCATCGATACAATATTGAAAAATTATCTGAATCTGATATCAGGTCAGTTGATACCCTGGTTGGGCCTTTTATTGGATATAATTGGATGTTTACAGGCTGATTTTGGTCTAGAACATCTCACAATATTAGTATAATTTGAAGGGTAAATACCAGTTGGCTCTCTTGTGTAATAATTTAACTGTGTTTTAAGGAAATAAGTGCCATTTTCTATCCCTAAACTGTATCGATTAATATCTGGTATCGGCAGATTCTTAAAGTAAAAGTATTGATATTGGCATCAGAATCCAGAAAGCTGGATCAGTGCAGCCCTATTAAAAACCTATTCAGGAAATGTTTTTGTTTTTTTTTTTAGATAATTTTATGTATTGAAGACAAACGCTTTAAAGTACGAGTCCATCTTCTTAGTGTTGTATTCACTAGTTGTGATAGGGCTATTTATTTCTTCTAAAAAACTTAATACAGATGATGGTACTTTTCTGACCAAATGGATCTTGAGGACCAGAGTCAATTGCTGGACATTAATTCCGAGTATGTACCTGCCCATTGACTGTGCACATGCTCATAACTCTCATATTGCACTTTTTGAGGATACCACTTTTCCCTTTAACAGGACTTTATTATGTTGTGGCTTTCATGTACCGTCCAACAAGTGAAAACTGTAGCTTCTGTGAAGGCTAAAGGATGCTATAAGAGTTTTCACGTTTTCTGTGCACTGTTTTAATCATTGTACCAGTTTATCATAAAGAAAACATTTTTATTTGTTTAGCAATTGTTTTAAGTCTTACCTCATATTGTCTTATTGTATGGTACATTTGTATTTAAAAGTTGTATTCTTAAGTGTTAATGTAACTTATATTTGTTACGAGCTCAATTATGCATTAAATCTTTTGTACAGAAATCTGTCTAATGCGCATTTGTGTGGAAATGAAAAAAGAGGCTTAGTTTTTGTGCATTTGACTTTTATTTTTTCAAACCATGTAAAAGTATTATTGACATTACCCTTTGGAGAGCCATTATATTTTTTTCTTACAGAAGAAATTAAAGCATTCTCCATTTATAGTTTATGTAAACTCCGTTACATGCGTTACTCCTGGAGCAGCACACAACACCTTTAATTTTGTGCTCAGAACTTCACACAATAACACTGTTCGACGCTCACTTTCTCCAAACAAAACAATATTGCACATCAGACATCACCATTGTACTCTCAGCCAGTTTACCATACCACCATCCTGCTACTGCATTCACACAAACGTATACAGACACTTGGTAAGAAATACGTTTTAAAAAAGGAGGCTAGAAATTACACCGCTTTTCAAAAGGAGGTAATCTACACTAAACTTAACAAATCCTGGGATTTTCAAGTGCTATACAACAAAAAATTCAAACTTAAAATTCAGGCTACTGCTCGTCCTCATTTTCTTGTCCTGAACCTTCGGAGCGGTCGCCCTCAAGTCGATCTGCAAGAGAGACAGAGGCGCTTACATGATCAAACTTTTGGCATTTTCTTCACACAAAACAGCACTGCACAAATTACATTGTTAGATATGTTTCACGGAATGATAGTTAGAAGGAGCCTACCACAAGTGCAACAAAGACACCATTGGTCCCATCTTGTAGTCATAAGCTAGTTGTATTTTAAAGGCCCTATATTATGTAAAATTGACTCTTTAAATCTGAAGCTTTAAGCTTTAAATCATGCTATAATGCTGTTACCTCATCAAAAACACACCTGGAGTTGAGCTTTGTTTCATTCACATATGTTTATTATTAGTCTGTCTACATCTGCAAAGCTCAAAATGCTCTGTTCCACCTTATGATGAGATGAAATGGTAGTTTTCAAGTTAACACCTACCTTTTACCTTTTGTTCAGTTTGAACAATTCAACCTAAATATGCAGGATTTGTGCGTTAAACATGTGTGACTGAAACACATCTCTGTGTTTTGATGAGGAACAACATTATAACATAGATCAGAAAATAGCCTAATATGAGCCATTTAAGTTAATTTTCATCCTAGGCAGCCTGGTTTTCAAGTACCCAAGGGGTATATTTTTGTATTCAGTGAAGTACCTGATCTGATATGATTGAGGGAGGCGAGCATTCGGAGCATGAAAGAAGCAGGGACTGTGATTGTGTTTCTCGTTTCCTCCAGCATCAGTTCATTTCGAGTGATTACCTTTAGGGAAGATAGAAACAACATTATTTTACCAACCTGCAATTATATAAGCCTCAAACTCTTTTGATACTAAACATAAAAGTCTGATACTGAGTTCAAAGATGATTTTTAAAGCACTAATTTTTCTACATTTGCCAATATAATTTCACTACATGGCCATTTCTAGTTATGATAATGATCAAGTATAAAGGCCATTCAAAAGCTACAGGAAAGGGAAAACCTATTTTTTCAGTATTGGTCAAATGAGTATCTGGGTTTTGATACTTATCAGTAGCAGCAGAACTCAGTAGGATCTGGGTGCTGACAACCCTAAAAACTATAGGACAATAGAGATGGAACAATACATTACATATCTCAATACATGGGTTGAGATAAAACATTTTAGGTGTCAGAAAAACAAAAATGAAATCTCCTTTATTTTTTAGACAAATTATCAACTAACTATTACATGCATATTAAGTTACATCATGTCTACTCTATTCGGCTATAGCAAAGTTAGGCCTTTATGGAGTTGTTTTCCTCCTGTATTTAAAAGGGCACAGCACACTTAACCATCTTCTTGTAGTAGTAACAAAAGGCACAGATAGTTTTAGTACCTGTAGTGATCAACAGTCCCTAGGGGTGCGATGCTAACTGTAGACATGCTCTGTCTGAGGCTTGGTTAGACTTTAATCTGAGCTTTATTTAGCTGGAACTACATCAGTTGAGCTGATTTGTGCTGTTAAACAAGTCCCTCTAAAATAACATTACAGTCTCAAGCTAGCATTTTTTCAGTTTATCACTTTCACCTTTTTGTTGAAAATCAATCACCTTACAGGACCGGGCTCATATTGATCACAACCTCTTGAAAATGTACTCAGTGTTTGCTAATGCATTGTGTCTCCATCGTAACTGGTGTCACTGCAAAGTGTCAGCTGAGTATTGTTGCATACCAGACATGTTTGTGTAGGAAAACAAATACCTCATCTGCAAGGACCCTGTTGAAATTTGGGGACTCCTCCAAAGGTGACCAAATTTTGATATCATAGTCAATTCCTGAAGAAGCCAGTACTAAGAGCAAACAGGAATACAGGAAGGAAGTGTCATGAGCTAATAAAAGCAGAGGTCCTTTGAAGTCCATGTAAAAGCCTTACTGGGGTCGTAGGGATGTGGCTGTAGGCAGTTGACCACATGGTTGTCAGCTTCCAGCAGCATGAGGTGCTCCGCCGTGTGCCTGTCCCAGATAAAGATGTGTCCGCAGTCGGAACCACTCATTACAAAGTTGTTGCCCCAGAAACAAGCTTCTTTTATCTGCGTACATGGAGAAATCAGATTTGATAAACAAGGTCAATAAAAGCCACAGTTTGGATTTTGCACATAGATAGAAATGTATATATTATGACAGTTAATAGTGCATTGTGTCACTTTTTCAGTGGAGGGTTCGTCAAATTCTTTTCCCCATGAAAACTTTCTTGCTTTATGTGAAATTTTTCACAGTATGGTATTAAAGCTTTCGATCTTCATGGAGACCAAACCAGATCAAGTTACAGGTCAAATTTGTGGAGAAGCAACCCAGCTCGCAGTCAGAAGCGCTATAATTCTTGAGCTACAAAATCACCTGTAACTGAATAAATGTACGGTGTAACTGTATAATGTCAAACCGTGTAACATTTCAGGCAGAGCATTAACATCCCACAGAGAAAGCATTTGATGGACCCTCCATCAGAAAAGTTACTGTATTACTGTATTTATTCTTATCTACATTCAGCAAGTAGAGTGTAAGTTATCCCTACACAAATCTATTAACATACAAGAAACCAAAATCCCTGACAAATATTAAAGGTCCTATATTAATTTTTTTTTATATTACTTCCTTTTAGTCATGCTAGAATGTTATTAGCTCCTCAAAAACATACGTGCACTCTCTCTACATCTCCAAAACCCAAAATGCTCTATTCCACTGTGTGATGTCATGAAGAGGGTAGTTTTCATGTTAACAGCAGCCTTTTACGGTACTTTTTTTCAGTAGATTGGCAATTCAAGGGCTGAAATTGTCAATCAGTTACCTATTAATTATTCTAACGAAGGTGTATAGAGTTTAAAAACACTTCCTGTATTAATACATGACATCACAAGTTGGAACAGAGTGTTTTCAGTTTGAGAGAAGAAGTCCTCCTAAATATACAGGATTTGTGTGTTAAACAAAAATACAGCTCCTGGTATGTTTGTGATGAAAAAACAACATTGTAACATACACCAGAAAACAGTGTAACATGGGCCCTTTAAGCTGTACCATAGTCCTGGAGTTGCGATGGCCTTTGTACACCATTTTGACTGAAGGCCTTCTGATGTTCTGCGTCTCACTCTCCTCCATCTCTCTTCGCTCTTTCCTGCGGCGAAACAGCTCCTGGATACGAGCGGCCGCAGAACGCCTGTGGAATCAAACAAAAGTGTGAATTTAAAAGAAACCCCCAGAGTACAGACCACCCCATGCTGTTAGTGCTGCTCAAGACGACCATGCTCAAAATCTCAAAATGTGTTTTTGCTCAGGTCAATGTTTTGAAGCTTCTGCACACAATGTAAAGCAACAAACACTGTAATAATGCACCGTTTGAAGTAGATTACAGTTAGGCCTGTCACGATAACAAATTTTGAAGTTCGATATATTGCTGAAGAAAATATAGAAGATAAATGATAATACTGAAACAAATTTATGCCACTGACACAATAACTCAGATTTATACCATAAAAACTATTCTAAATGTACAGTATTGTTAAAAAAAACATGAGCTGCAATAAATAAACAAGTAAATGAAACACTTTAGTACTTAGTTTACATCTGTAATGAGTCATAGAATTTATAAACTGAACCTTCTATGGCCAAAATCTTATCATATAGCCAAAAAATAACCACAAATTTCCCAGGTGTGCAAAGAAAATGTACCCATCATAAATATTGACCACAAAAATATATTGGTCCAGCTTTCATATATTAAACAACAAGTCGACATAGTAATTATTGTGACAGGCCTAATTACAGAAGTTGTATAGTAGGTTTATGTGGAAAATTCACCTTATGATGACGATGCCATCCATGCACAACTTTTTCTATCAGATAATGCCAGATAAAAACCCTTCGGTGGGGACAGAGCTCACATGCACACCCCTGGGTACATTTCTTTCATAGCCAGTGAAAATCAGATGACTAATAAATCAGATTACCAAATAATTAGATCTGTGTTTTGGTGTGTGTTGCCCAAGAGAAATCTGAGCCAATTTTAAATTAACTCCTTCAGTATTTAACATTTTCTCTTTCATTTTTGTATTTGCCACATTAGTTTGCCCTTTTTCCACAATTTTTTGCCAAAACCAGCATAGGCGTGAACAATCAGAAAGAAATCATACAGTCATATAATCAGATTTGTTGTGTGCATGACATTTCAGTAATCTGATAATAATGATAATGTTTTTGGTGTGCATGTGTAAACATAGCCATAGCTGTGTTAGAAAGATATTTTTGTGAGAATCAAAAGTCAATGCTTCACTTCTTAAGGTGCGCTCTCTGTGGCATTTTAAGGATTAGATGCTTTAGAGCAGGTGCGACGTTTTACCTGATCATTCTATCTCCTACGGCAGATCCTCTGGAATTAAATCTATTATGTAGTGAAACAATCATCAACAAGACTTAAAGACATCACGGGTACATGGTTAGCTTAGTGTAATGTAGTATGCTGTGAAATGCATACCTTTGTCCCTGTCCTCTGAACCTCACGGAGGGTATGAGGATGGGGTCATCGTCGCTGTCATCAGAGTCCTGGTTGGGGCGCGTGGGTTGGCTGGTCTGCCCTGCCTCCTGTCCCACCCCTTGCCCCGCCTCCTCCTCTGCAGCAGCAGGCTCAGCTCTTCTACAGCCCCCTGATGTGTCCTCCTCCACTCCCTCAGGCTGACTCCTCTCCTGGGGTGAGGAGGTGCCCACCTCAGAGGAGCCCTCCGCTGGGCCTTGAGTTGAAGTGCTGGGGAGAGTGCTGCCTGGAGGATCTGTGCAGGACTTGGGTGCACTTTGTTCACCTGGATCAGAGGATGCTACAAAGGAAAGCTATTCAGTGAAATGCATGTATGACAGGTATATTGCAACTTTGATTGCCACATACTCTGTTTTGAAGTTGAAGGTTTTGAGTTCTCCTTTTCACGGGTCAAAGCTGCAGGCTCAGGAGCTTTTGGAGCTCCACTACCCATTGAACTTGATGTACTACTACTCCTGAGGACAAACAAAACACATATGATTAATTAGGTTTCATAGTATCATCAGTGTAGCCATTTTAATGTCTTTTTAATGATTCTCCAATGTGATTTTTAACTACAAATGGCAAATAAACTAACCTAAACTAACATGGCATAATATCACAATGTATTACATGGTCAAATGTCTGGTTTTAATTCAATTAGATAGAAACGTATACTTTGCAGTTCCAGTGTGCCAAAGACCACATTTAGTTGCTTCTGTCATACCAGAATTTGATGATACCATATTTTCAGATGGAGGATATGACTATTTGAGAGATTCGGTGTTTTTGAAGTATTCAAATTGAAAATCCACAAATGTTGAACCTTTTTTGTGGCATATTAATCATATCTATTGGGTTGAATAATGGCATCACTTTCAGAAGATTCAAGAAGAAAAAAAAAATCAGATCTGTTTATACTGACAGAGCAGATATTAAACTTCGTGCCAGTTTTTATTTCATGTGGATAAGCTCAGCAACTACAGAGATATTAACCACAAAACAAAGTCAACAAATCTGCAATGTGACAGTTAAACAGCAAATTCTACCATAGAATTCTGACCTGTCCTCCAGCACAATTTTCTGATCTCTGTTATAATGTTGTTTCCTCATGAAAAACATACATGGAGTTGTGTTTTTTTCATTCACACACTCACCACACAAACCCTGCATATATAGGGTGAATTCTTCTCTCAAACACGAAACACTCTGTTCCAACCTGGGATGTCATTTGGTAATACAGGAAGTGCTCCACTGCGTTTTTAAACTTCATACAACTTAACTAGAATTATTTGGATGAATTCAGCCCTGGACTTGCCAATGTCTGCTGAACTAAAGATAAAACGCAGTTGTTAACTTGAAAACTACCACGTCATGTCATCCCAAGTTGGAGCAGAGCATATTAAGTCTGGAGATGTAGACAGACTAATAATAAAGGGTTATTCAAACATAAGTGAATGAAACAAAACACAACTCCAGGTAGGTTTTGAGGAGGTAATAACATTCTAATGTGGCTTAAAGCTCACAAGAGTCAGTTTTGTGCAATATAGGACCTTTAAAACTTTAAGGATTGTAGAACTGACACTTACCACTCATCTGTAAAGTCCAGCTTGATGGTGCTGGTTGTGGTTCCCTCGGAGCTGTAGTGGAGGCTGAGGACAGGCTCTGCCCCCCCGCTCCGCCCAGGACCACTGCTGCTGGGCACAGGGGGCTCTTCATCAGGGATGGACACTGGACCCTCAGCTGCTCCTGTGAGCAGAGACAACTATTACACAGTGTTAAAGGTTATTTAAATATAGTGTGTGTGAAATTTACAAATACATACACCTTTGTATTGCATCCACATCCACATAAATACTCACAACAGAACCATATGGGGACATGCACTAAATACAGATGAATACGAACAAACAAATCAGCAAAAATAACAAGAGACGGTACCATACTGTACAAACAGCATATGTCTCAGCAGAGATCCAACCCTCCAGGTCTTACTACAGAACAGACTGAAATTGTACCGGTCACATTATAACCTGTATGTTTTAGTCAAATTACAGAGTATTTTACAGAAAAAGAGCACTATGTAACATTTCCGGTGAGGAACAGTCACTTGCTTGCCTCCATGGAGATATTATTGCTTTGCTCACAATGACCCACATTATGTCAGTAAACCTATCCATCTTGCAGTTATTAAATTACAGATGTTTTTATTGCTCAGCGGGGTGAGTTACCTTGACCTCTCCACAAATCTTAACTGCACCATGGTCTGATGGGTCATCTCTCCATATTTAATGCCATAATGTGAAACATTCCAAGCAAAGAAATAACATCTCAGAGATATGCAGGCAGTGTACCCTCCATAAGAAAAGTTACACAGTAACCTTTATCTTTTTTTAATAATAGTGTTGCAGTGTACTTGTGCAGTATATATAAAGACTTTGTGGTGAATATTTGATATGAAGGTATATTAAAAGTAATGGATAAGAAACAGTGTTACACAGAAGGACAGAGTGAGAATATTGGTCTCTATTCAGATCAGGAAGTGATGAAGGAAAGACGCACCCTGCTGTTCATCTAGAGTCATGGATCCCAGCTGTTTGTTTACCACAGACGAGGGAGAATCTGTAACACAAACCAGAGCAACCAATGCATCCACATGCCAGACCTCCAGCGCACAAGCACAGGCGTACAGTCTACTCAAGTTAAAACAAAACACTGATCCTATATATAAGTACACTTTCCTTTTTAAGCACCAAAACATCACTAAAATTATTATTATTTTGATTATTGTCAAACTATAACACTGTTTTCCCCTAATCACTTTATGTGCAAACTGTTCCTCTCTGAGATGAGGAGGTTAAAAAGTACATATAAATATAAAGATTTGATAGTTTACAGTAACACTATTCAAATCAAAATATAATTTCAAACTTTTGCATTTATTGTAGAAAATATTCCTGATTTCAAGGAAACATAACTTATTTGGACATATTTAAACAATTAAGATTTAAATATAATACTTTAATATAAGGCATGATAATGAAATAATTTTCTACTTTTAAATAAGAAATTTATAAATGCACACTGGAGAAGGGGAGAGCCACAAATCACTTTCTAATATTGAGCAGCATACAGAGAGGTGCCACTCCATAAAATGTGCTAAGGGAAACTCCAGGAGAAAGAGGTGACAATGAAGGACAGGCTTTGTGAGTGAGAAGCGGAGACTGCAGAGCTGTACAAGGTTAAGGGGGTTAGAGTTAGTAATTCATAATGCCCAGGTCCAGTTGAATCTATGTCTGCAGGGTGGTGGCAGAGGCAAGTGCTCGGAGGGGTAACCTGCACTGGGGGGCCTCTGGGCTGCAGTAGTTCTTTGACCCTGTCTCTCAGAGGCAGTAGAGGGAGCAGAAGAGGAAGAAGAGGAAGAAGAGGCAGCAGCAGCAGCGGCCGCGGCCGCTCGATGGCTCATGCCCGGAGGGTCTGCCAGCCGAAGCAGCCTCTGCAAACGCCTACACACTAAACTTATGGGCAGCCGATGGGGGCCGTACTCTGACAAAGAGGCTGAGGGGGAGAGTAAATGTACAGTTAGACACAGACGGACTCAGAGGAAGGACTGGAGCAGAAACAGGAGGAGGGAGACAGAGGTCACTGAGGGAGAGTGGAGTGACCCACACAAACATACACCATGGTGCTGTACACAGCTCCAGTGCCCTACCTGACAGCGCTGGTTCTGTGGCGGTTGTGGCAGTCGGAGTGAGTATCCCGGTGGTGTCCTGGCTCCTCTGCTCGGGGGAGTCCGGGGAAGATGTGGGTGGGGACGTGGAGGTGGAGGGGGCGGGGGCTGTGACCGTGGATGAGGATGCTGAGGAAGATGAAGATGTTTGGAGTGCTTCAGTGGCAGGAGCAGAGGAGACCTCTGAAGACTGCAGGTCTGTAGGCGCTGCACCTGTGTCAGACCCTGATGCAGAGCCAGGTGCACTCGGGGGACCCTCTGGACGGATCGCTGTTCCTTACACAACAACACAACAAGTATATTCTGTGACCGCTCAGACAGTGATACATCTAAAGATGTAGTTCCTCAAAAATGGTCAATAATCCAGAACCTCTAAAAAAAACAACTGAAAAACAGAAAAAAAATCTTCTAACTATCTCATTAATTTACGGTCCAAAATGAGTAAAATTATAACCTGAGCCAAGATAGAGACGTAAGATGGAAGTCTTTGAAAGGTGTGTATTGATTTACCCCTGGGCCGAGCCTGAGGCCGGGCTCCTCTGCTGCTTTGTGCCTCACTTGCCTCCTCAAACCATCGGGATAACATGTCAGACATCCTTTGCATTAGAGACACATTTGGGCTCTGCTCCCCTGTAAAAACACACATTAATAAAGAAATACATTATATGGATTATTATTACTGATTCATAGTTCCTGATTCATATACAGTTCATGTAAGGCTTCTCAAAGAATAATATTTTACATAATTTGTTATTAATTTATAATAATAATAATAATAATACTGATATTACTTCTTCCTTGAAACTCTACTGCTGGTCTTTTTTTCATTTTTTTCAATTTCTGCACAGATAAATAAAGATCTCTTAAAGGAGTGTATATGGCTTGTATTTCTTCTAGTTTAGGAACACCTTTTTCTCCACAGATGATAAGAAAAACATTTGTGTGGGAAAATTTCTAATGAAAAAATGGTTTTACATCATAAAAGCATTTTGTTTGATGAGAACAATAAGGAAGCAACTGCCAGGGACAGACTATTTATCTAATCAGAAACATTGTTAGATAAGAGCCATATGGAAAAAACTGCCTGCAAGTATCCTACACAGTTGTTACTCTCTCATGGTGCAACATCAGTGTAAGAGAAGGGACTCAGATGCTATGCTAACAGCTCATTTAGAAAAAATATCGAATAACATTATCTTGTGTTTACCATCTCGCTCCCTCTCACTCTCAGGGCGAGCGCGGGGCCCAGTATCAGACCAGTCTCCTCTTAGGCGCAGACGCTTGACTGGGGGCTGTCTCAGCTGTGGAAACACACACATAAGAGATTAGCAGTTTGTCACTCAAACTGGAGTCAGAAATAGCCCTGCTGCAAGAGCAAAACAGCCCTGTCTCTGGCAGTGTCCTCTCAAAAGTGACACCCCTGACTGAGGACCCCCAGGTCTCTGCAGGCTAACACTGAGAGACAAAAATAGAAGATAAGACTAGACTAGAGAAGGTAATGACAGCATATTTTTAGATATGGCCCCAAGGCTTTGAAATAGAGAGCTGAAATCAGGTTTATGAGGATGATACGTAAAACATGACTGGGTCTCATGAGGAGCAAAGGGAGATGGTTGTTCCCCAACATTGCCCTGTACTATTTCGGTGGGAAGTGAAGCAGGGTGTTCTGTATTTGGAAAGGAATGTGCATGATGGCTGCATCTCCACATAGCTGAACCCACCACAAAGCTTTAAACTCCGATCGTGAACCAGCACATTCTCACATGTGTCTACACCATTAGCATCATTAGTATCGTTAGCTCATACGTTCAACAGACCGAGATCAGCTTTACAGAACTACAGCAGTAATGCTTTAGAGTGAACGAGGCATAAGTCTTCATCATGTCATCTCACTCCCCATGTTCCCACTTTTTGATTGTAATTTTTGTGACTTTTATAACAATGAAATGCAAACTAAAGGTTGTGGCAGTGAAAGACAGGAATATGTCTCACCTCCTCCCTCCTCTCCTCTGAAGGGCCCTTGAGCTCTCGTGCCTGGTCGTCTTTGGGGTCAAACAGATAGATGTAGTCGGAGGAGTAGCTGACCAGCACCTCCTGACCATCCTCACTGTAGCACAGCGAGGTCACTCTGCATGACTTATTGGACAGGTGGGCAGGAACAAACCGCACACACATGCCTGTATTTACACGTCCCATGTAGTTTCCTAGATAAAAGTGTAAGGTTAAAATAAAAATAGGTAAAAATTTTGAAAAATAGAAGTAAAATGCAATTTGTTAAAAAAATATATAGCAGTGGTAATTGACAGCTAATGTTGAAGTAATAAAAAAAGAAGTAGTGTATGAAACCATCCAAGGATGTAGATAATGGGAAGTCTCACCTGTCGCTCTGGTTCCCAGCATGCGCCTGTCATAAATACGCACTGAGCTGTCAGAGCAGCCCACAGCCAGATAGAAGGGCATCAGAGGAGAGATGGAGATGGAGGTGGCTGCCCTCCGACAATTTATCAGAATGTCCTGAGATAAAAGCCAAAAGGGATTACAGTTCATATGATTTAAATGAAACTAATACAGTCAACTGTACACAAGCACCAAGAAACAAACTGGAAGAAAACAGAGTAGATTGTATCAGTGCAGTAGACTAACATCACAGATATTCATTCTGCTTCTGTATTCTCTCATACAGTGATGTCCTTCTGAAACACACACTCCCATCAGACAGCCAGCTCTGTCTGATGTGGTCTGGCCTTAAGCTAAACAACAGTTTCTAAGATATTCTCTCCATCAGATCCTACTCTAGAAACAAAGCTGTTTACAAAGACAACAGCTTTGTGGAACGTTGCTATTTGGATGTTATGTGGCAGTTACAAACAGTAAACCAGACATTTTTAAAGAAAAAGGATTAAATGTGAAAATCTTACATCTTTACAGTCTTCTTTAGTGCAGCTTGTTTTTGTGCGGAGATCAAACCACCGCACTGTGCCATCTTCTCCACATGACAAAAAGGTGTAGGGGTCATTGGGTACTGTCATGATCTAAAACAAACAAGGGTTTGAATGGAAAATGATATATCAGTGTTGTATTTTAAATAAAGCCCAGCTGACCTCATAGGCGGTCCCATAGTGACAGGTGAACTGGCACTGCCGGTTGAGCTCGGGGCTCTTCTCTGTGGGTGTAGTAGATGATGCCATCTCCAGAGCACGACACGATCTCCTGATCGTTTGTGTGGGGCATGAATTTAGCACTGAAGATGTTTGCTCGATGACCTGAACGTATAGACTTCTTAACCTGATCAGATTAATTACAAAACAGTTACTGGTGAATATTGCAAAAATACAGACAACTCAAAAACAGTAGGCCATACCTTTTTATTGTATGGATTTGAAATAACCAAAAAGGTATCATCAGATCCTGACAGCAGGTATTCTCCTGTGTCATTCCATGAGATAGTATTGACCTGCACAGAAGACATATTTGTTGATGTTCAGTCACTTCTAGTGTCTATCTTTTGATTGCTCCGGAGCACTACATTCCTCACTCAGCCCACACAGCTTAATTCCCTCTATTCAGTTGGCAGTGGATCAATATTCCATTCAATCTGTCAGTTCCAGCTTCATTGGGCCAAGAGTCAGTGTCACAGAAACATCTTTTAAATATAGATTATAAAAAACTCTCCATCAAGGACAACTACCAGTATAGTATGACAATTTTCAATCATTCTATCTCCAGGGCTGCCACAAACAATTATTTTTAATCATTTTAAGCAATCAAATGATTGATTGATTTCTATTGGGTATTATTAATACAATTTAAACATATTAATGTAACCAAAATAAGGACTAAAAATTGAAGGAGAATGTTTATAAATTAAGAGTAGGCCTATTTTCCATCAAAATATTGAGGATAGATTGTCTAATTATTTCCAAATGTATTTATTTCATGATATATTATTTTGTTAATATTTTAAATATTTAATATTGTCAAATTAATCATGATAAGTCTTTCTCCTTTAGCTGAAAAACATAAGAATTTGCAGTGGAAGGCTTCAGTGCATTTCTTGGCTTCATGGCTCAGAATTGGGTGGGTCATAGAGGTCACTGTCAGTAGTAAAGTAAACAAATATAGAACAATAGAACTAATAGAATCTTAATATTTACATTTTCAACAACAGGTCATAAGGAGTATATTAATGTCGGTGCCCATAATGATCAGTGTTTGGGTTATATAATTAGTAACACACATTAATTATGCAGCAAAACAACTAGTATTGACCGTCTCTGTGTATTTGGTCCCTCCTGTAGTGTATTTTGTTTTGAATAAGCTAGAGCAAGTGTAGCTCTCCTGTTACAGATCGGTGCTTGGTGTGAGGAGTATTGGATACAGGATGTGTGACTGTTCTCCTCAGATTTCTCGAGACACCACCTGACCTGACCAGGGCCATCTTCAGCACCGGAGCACCACAAACAAACAGTGGAAACGTGACAAAAGGGTTCAAGTTCTCATGCAAAGGGAAAAAGGAGACACTTACACAGCCATCATGGACATTGAGGGTTGATTCAAGTTTAAGCCTCTGGACAAACTCTCTTCTACCTGTAACAGAAAAGGGGAAGCTGTCATCATGCTTCAAAGCTTTCATGTTTTGTATCATCTGTGGAAATAGAAATCCTACTGTGTATTTGTACAATGAGCAAAAAGAACAAGCATGTTTGGTAATGTGAAAGAGTACACAATGTGAACTTTAAAATAGTTAACAAAACAAATATCACAACAATTAAACTAACACTACTACTACTACTACTACTACTACTAACACTAACTGATAATAGAAAGGTTCTAGTTCTGCAGTTCAAATGTGTTTTTAATTTTAGTTTTCAATAGACATTGCTTCTTGACATGATATATTAGTAGATTTATATTTCTCTTGAAAATATGATAACAATAACATTAACAAGCCTATATCCTTATGAACAGTTTGGGAAATGCCCTGCTTCTGATACAAAGGATCATTTTTCATCAGTGCACATCACAGTGGCACCCACCAAAAGACCCCCACCTATTTGTGCCAAATATATCCCTCAAGAGTCCTGCCAACATCACACTGTGACTGCAAGTCCTCAGCAAACACGGAACAGCACTGGGCATATCTAAAAACAGCACAGACTAGTCAGTGGAGACTGGTTGACTGATTACTTCTTTAAAAGTGACAAAATGAACAGTGTTTTGCAAACATTCGTCTCTGAAATTGACAAACAAGAGGGCTGCACCAGGGAGGAGGCAGCCACTGTATTGTATGTTTCTTGTGAACATGTAGTTGATAAGGGATGCCTCTGCTCTCACTTAACTCCTGCTTTAAGCGTATGCTATTACAATATTATCGTTAGCTTTCAATTCTATGTAGAGTTGTTGCTCTTACCTAAATAGTTGGTCCTGATGGTGTAAGGCTCGTTGTATCCAATTACACGTTTATTAACGTCCCAAACCAGGTTCCCTGAACAGGACATTGTAGCCGAATGGGGATTTTAGTTGACAATAACATTGAAACTAAGCTAACCCTTTTCTGGTGATGTCGTCTGTTATTTACTCTCGTTGGGGTTTTGCCATTGGTATTTTTGTCCAGAAAAAAGCTAACACGGAGCAGCGAGGCGTGACGCTGACATTTCTTGCGCCAGAGAAATGGACACAGTTCTTCCAGGCTGTGTCCTCTTGACTCCACACTGACAGTAGCCTTCTCTCCGGACCGCTATAGCCTGGACTGCACTGTCCTGCTAGCGTCTGGCCTAGTGCATTTCTGCAAACAGCGGTCAGCTGTGAGCACACAACCATTCACACAACGCGATAATGTCCGTGTTTTGGGTTGGCCCGGGATCTGTGCGCTTGATCTGTACAGCAGGACGGTGTCAGGCGGGTGGGACGCAAGAGTTTTTCTTTGTGTAAATGTAACTTACAGTGTGACTTTAAATACAAAATACTTATAATAATATGTTCATAAAAATTTATATTTCATTATGTTGAAACTTAACCCATGATTTTTCGGCCTGAGATCTCTTAAAATCACGGCATACGCTGGCTAATAAATGTTACAACCCCGGGTCGACTAATCATCAGTGGGCTCTGACTGGACTGACCAATCAGAGCGCAGAGTGGCGTTAGGCCCGCCCCCTGGAGGTAGGTTGCAGAAAAGTCACCTCATTCCGCGGTCAGGGGGGCGCTAGCACTGTTAGCATGGTAGGATATCTGTAACTAGAAGGTCGACAGTAGGGCGGCTAGATTCTCGGCTTTCCCGCTGTTTACTGTAGTGCCCCATTTCAATAAATAGGACTTCGGACATAGGATATAGTATCGTCATCAAGATCATTTTGCCCACGAACTGAACGAGTTGGTGTGTTTTTGTTTTCTGAACGACTGTAAAACCATGGCTGCACTCAGAGCTTCTTACCACAGGATCTTGGACAGGATCGAGCATATACTGCCTGCCAAACTGAGACCTCTTTACAATCATCCTGCAGGTAATGTCTTAGTATTTTATTAAACATACAAATTGTGTACAGTATCTGGTCCTGCGATGCACCTGCACCTATTTATGGTGCGAGATCGCGTTTGTTTACAGTTAACAATCGTTCGTTTTCATTGACTCGTTAAACTCACTTGTCCGGGTTCCTGGGGTTAATATTGTTAAAAAAAAAACGACTTGAGCTTTAAAGTGAGCTGATAAGACCAACCGACCAAAAACAAGGTGCCCTTCATTCAGTCTCTGTAATGAACATAGAATATGTAATGAGGATGCTCCATAAAAGGTTCATCCAGATTAAGAACTATGAACCAGAAAAGAACTGTACTACTAGAACCCAGAAAAGCTATATGATTTTCCTAAATAGCCCTTTCACACAATAAACTCGAATAAGCACTTTCTATTCATTATTAAATACATAAGCAAGGAGGAGTCAGACTTAGCTGTTATCTCCCTATGATTGTTTGGTCTGAGTACTCACTGTTGTAGTCAAGGGCAACTTTCTGATCAGGTAAAAGAGGCGGTAACAGACAGGTGACAGGCAGGTGACAGGCAGGTGACGGGTCCTATGTCTGGCCTGCAGCATTTGCCAAGGAATGTTTAAACCAGTTGCCACATTGTCTGAGCCGCTTATTCCGT